CTGTTTGAATGAGAATTCTAGTGGCCGGCTGCTCAGATCGCTACTTTTACGTGGTTTCTACCATCAACACCAAACTAATGCCGCAACAGGACCCTAACAAACGGGCCACGGACCGCAAGCGATATCTCTTCCCTCTTCTTTGCACTATCCTCAATTCTTATATACAATTAACATGCCCTACACGTTTGTTCCGGCTGGGGCGGTGCCTCGGTGATAGATATACCTGGATGGACAAAACCCCGCAAATCGACTGATAGAATGACGCCGGATATCGCCATTAAGATGAGAAGATCACCCCCAGTTCCCACGACAAAAACATGCACTACACTTACGGAACTAATAGCCTTAGCGGTTGACGCGCTCGGAATCGCTAGTCAATGTATCAATTGGATGTGCGCTCTGGCTGGGAAAGCGGTCGTTTCACACGAAACGACCTCGATGTAGGCAACCCTCTCAGCAGCCTTGTTGTGTGCTACCTACCTTCAGGGAAACCTTGGAGAAACAATTGAAAGATGTATGAAAATAGCGGCTTTTCTTTATTACGAAGAATATTCTACGAATATGAACGATATCGAACGAAGATGAACGATTAATATTCGTGTGTGGTTCTCAAAACAATTGTTTACGTTTGTTTTTTTTCATTTTTATTCATTTATTTATCATCAAAAACCGTTTAAAACCTATGTGTGACGTACTATTGTATTCGGACGAGGAACTACTGTTACAAAGTGTATTCTGTGCACATATTCTTAAATTCTGGCATCACCACCGTAACACACATAAGTTGGATTATGAACACAGATAGAAATGAGCGTTTTGGGGGAGTATTGACGAGAAAATATTCGCTCCCATGTGATAGAATCTTTTTGCGAATGTGAATTAGCTAACGATTTGCGCTATTATCCCTCATCGTGTTCAGTCTAGGGATATTCCTGTTCCTAACGATGGCCGCGCGGCCATCTTTAATTTTGATGAAATGTTGAATGTTGAGTCCCACTTGTCTCAAATAAATTTTGTGAAGGTTTAAGGTGAAATAGTTTTCGCGGTTTGTTTGATCTCATGAAACATCTTTGTACAGTACAATAATATATTCTCAATTTTGAGATACATTTCCTTTTCCGTTTTTGCAAAACATATTAATCCGAAACAATTACCAGTCGTCATTGCCATCCTTATTGTTTATTATATTGTTGGCAATGACAACTCATAAATATTTCATTGTAAATGCCAACGGAAACTCACCACAATACCAATATTAAACAGAGTCCAGTTACACAACTCTTTTAGCTCTTTTCGAGTAAATTAATATTTTTTTCTTTACACATATAACTCTACTGTGTCCTTTACATATAATAACACGTGATATTGAATTATAAAATGAGTAAAATAATTATTTTAAAAAAAGTCTTTAATAAAAATTCATCCTGAATTTAAAGAATCAAGTTTTTAAATTGCGTATTTTCAACCTTACGCTTCACACGGCCAAGAACAGTAGTTTGTCTTAAAATGTCATCAATGGTCTCAAGAAAGTTTCAGAGATAAGAAGTGTAGTCCCTTAAGATGTTTTCCCATGTGTGAACAAATGTAAGAAGCCATGCGGCAAACAAAAGTACTATGAATGCTCTTAAGGATTCGTAAATAATCAAGTAT